TTCATCTGCTTCTTTTCATGCCACATCTAGGATGTAGTGGTTTTTTTTTTTTTATAGGGGTACAGTAAGTTGCAGGAATAAACTGGACATCCCTCCAGGAGAGGTCAAAAGCCAAGGATAGGGTCTGGAACCTGTCTGTAAATTTATCAGGGTCCTCTAAACATTTTTCCAAGTGTTTCTTTACATTGCTGTATATCTGTTATTGCAAAAGGAACCTGAATCCTAATGGTGCTTCAGCACCTGCCACTTCCCGGAAAGGCAGGATGGCTGAAGGGGAGAAAGCAGGGTACAGAGTGCCACTTCTTGTATGGGAAGGGCTGAGGAGAGGGCCTGCAGGGGCAAGGATGGTAGACGTTGCACAATATGGAGGGGTCTATTTTCTCCCTGAGAGGTGGATGTTGAAGCAGGGGGTCATCAGTTAGATCTGGGACTTGCTGTGGCTTTTGGGGATTGGTCTTTGAAATTTTGTTGCATAATGAGGGGTCCTGATGCAGAGTCATAAAGTCCTGGACATGAGCAGTCACCCAGGGATGGAGAAGCCACAGGGGAACATGGATCAGCTGATACATATTTTCAGTTTGATTTATTTCCTTTTTTTTCTTTTTTTAAAAAAATTTTTTTTTCAAAAGATGACCGGTAAGGGGATCTTAACCCTTGACTTGGTGTTGTCAGCACCACGCTCACCCAGTGAGCGAACCGGCCATCCCTATATGGGATCCGAACCTGTGGCCTTGGTGTTATCAGCACCACACTCTCCCAAGTGAGCCATGGGCTGACCTCTTAACCATCAACTTTAATTGTAAAAAAAATACTCCCCACTTCCTCTAATTTGCTGCTCCCAGGTTTCACTCCAAATTTCCTTTCCATAACTATAAGGTGGTTAATCATCAGAGTCTGACCTATGGCTCATCAAGCAAGGGTGGAGACATTCTGCTTCCACTCTCCAGAAAAGTCACTTTCTCCTCACTGAGACCCACAATTATGAAGTCCACCTAGACCTGCTCGGCTGATACTCTTCTTCAAGGCAACATTTGGAACCAGGAGGAGGCTTTTCATCATGCTTCTGAGGGGGCCAAGACTGATCTGAGCTGGAAACCTTTCTACCTCTTTTGGCTCTCTTAGGAAGTGGAAAAGTACTTCTGTCAGAGCTGAGAACTGCACAATCGCACACCAGGTGCCCCTTGGTCTAATGACCCCCAGACATTGTGCTTCATTAACAACTGATGGGCAATATGCCACCTCTACAGACACGTGGTGTGTAGAAATTATCAGGGGTTCGCCACTATTGCTTTGCCCCCCATGGATTTGTCACCCCACTTCCCCTGAGTGATGGAGCCGCAAAGGATTACTCTAAGCCCATCTCTTCTGAGCAGTGAGAGACCCCAAAGTGGTTAATCTCCCCAGAACCCTCAAGCAAGAGGCAACCCTTCTTGGGAAATTAACCCCGAATTGGGGTTCTCTTCCTGCATTTATTTTCCAGACCAGGAAGTTACAGGAAGAGACCATAGGTGGGGTTATAGTTTAACAATATAGGCTGGTAACTTTCAGTGAAACAAGTCATGTGACATTCCATTAGACAATTAAGTGATCCACCAACAAAAGCTTGATCTTAGCAAACATTCCTTCTCCCTCCAGCAATTTTCCAGTATCTTTACACATTAATCAGTAACTGGCTCCTCTGGCACTTTTGCACATGTGCATGCATATGTCCTTGGGGACCCAGTTGTACCAGTTATCCCATTTTCATCTATAACCAGGTTTCTTCTTCCCACTCTTGTCTCTGTGTAACTTTGTGCTTCAATCGGCCCAGGGCCTAGCACCTCAACCAGCTCAGACCAGCCACTTCCTGTTGTCACAAGCTGATCCCTCTCTTTGCAGATGTTCCATTCTCCACATCGCTGAGAGCGAATGGTGTCTGCCTGGTCTCTGCTGATGGAGAGTCAAGGCCGTTGTCGGCATGGGGGTTGGCCCTCCTAATCCACACTTTGTTCAGGGGTCAACTGTACAGAACTTCTGAAACTTGCTTGACAGCATGTGGGCAGAGCAGCCACCCCAGCCTAATCAGGGGAGGACGCTCAGATTTCCTCCACCACCACCATCTGTATACACTTTATAAAGTGTATAAAGTCTGCTCTGCATCCTCTGGATTGAGTCATCCTCAAGGTTCAGGTCTCAATGGCACTGACTTTTCTTGTATGGTTCTTTCGCTGCATCCTGGTTCTGCTGCTACTGCCAGACTGTCCCTGGGCAGTGCCGACCAGTGAGTTGGGGTCTGGAACTTAAGGGGAGGCCGACATAATTGAGAGAGGGCATTGGGAGGACTGAACTGAAACAGTAAGGCCAGGCCTGTGAACCAAACTGATTCCATTTTCCTGCAGAGGACACTTTGTTACTTTTCCACTCCTCAGTCAGACCCTACAGGGCACATAGTCTGCCCTGATGAAGTAAAGTGAGATAAGAAGAGAACAGATATTCACCGAGTTGCAAAACCCTTCCCTAAGGCTTATTCACTGTGATTGTAAAAATTAAGTTATGGATTAACCTTAAGATCACTGTAGGAATTCCCCCCATGCTCACATAGCTTCAAGGTGACCACTACAATGTCCCTTCTGGGTGACAGTGATGAACACCACCTCCATCTTGGACCTACTGAGCAGGTGCAAGGACCAAAACCCTGACTAAGTATGCACCCATGACACAACCAAGAAGAACAGAATGGACCTCCTCCAGTGACTCTGGCCTGTTACCCCTTAACTCCTTTCCCTATAGAAGACCCTGAACAGTTCCCCTTAGGGGCTAGCTTTACTGTAGTTATCCCCATTATACATAAGTCTATCCCCTCTTTTAATAAAGCGTTGCTTGCTTTACTGCTGGGTGCATCGTTCATCTCTATGACCCAAGAGCCTAATTCAGTATAAGCCAGGAGGTAAGGGGACTCTGGGTGCTGGGAATGGTCCTGGGATTTTCCCATGAAGCACACGTGCTGCCTTAGTATCTGCACCAGCAAAAATTGGAAAACCTTGGGCACAAGAGGAGACTCTATCTACAAGAGGCAAATGGCCACTGGGACTATTTTGCTCCCATGTCTCTGCTGCTGGTAAGTCTCTCCTGGAGTCCCCAGCCTAAATTCTGACAAGGCAATGCTTTATCCTCTTTTACTCTCCCTTTTTCCTTCCCTTTTCTTCTTTACTTTTCTCTGATTTTCTGAGCCTTCTCCTGCTGTTTGGTGTAGGTGCACCCTGGAGGGCTCCCAGCTTTGCTTTGTCTCTGATTTTCCAAGCCCTCTTCTTCTGTTCTGTATAAGTGCATCCAGGAGGGCTCCTGCCTATGCTCCATTTCTCTGATTTCAATCTAGTCAGTACTTTTCTTCTTTGTGCTGACAACAGTGGGGTGAACTGCTTTTATCAATTACTGTGTCAGTGAAAGAGGTTGGCCCTGCCGATTGGGACTAGGATAAAGTGGACCCCACTGTTCCTCTTTTCTCTTTGTTTGCTTGGTTAGACATTTAATTGAGTACCGGTAATCTGAATAAACCTTCCAATCCTTGCACCAACTTTTGGATTTGCAAGTCATTTGTTTAGTGCGAGAGGGCAAGCCGAGCCTGGTCTGTCGGTAACAGAACCTTCTCCCCCACCTCGGTGGCCCCTTCCTTCGTCGCCCGCTGTGAGCTCCATCCTGCCCCATCTGCCTCACTGGGGCTGGTTCTGCCTCCCTGACAAGCAGACAGGAGGAGAAGAGTGAAGTCAGGCATTTCATGCACATTCTCAAATAGGATATTTTAGTCGAAGCCTTGACAATGTAACCAATGATTCCAGTCGTATTCTATTATGAACAGGGAGCAAATTTTAATTGAACTTATGTAAATAATCATATTGCCGTAAAAATAATAAGGATACTCACAAACAGTTTTCAAATTTTGGCAGAATCAAGTAGAGAGGACAAGCAAATGCTTCCATCTTTGTTCACAAAAGTATATTTTATCAAATTGCTGTAAGTTATAAATAGCTTAAGAGAGAAAGTTTCCTTAAATCTGGAAAACAAAACACTTAAGAACCGACAATGTTTTAAATGAAAGTTACGAAACATTATCAGTTATTTAACCTTATGTAATTAATTTTCATTTTGCTTGATCTTGATTAGCGGTTTTATAAATCAGTCAGATTCCGTATTAGAGTTCTGAAATTTAACATTTTGTCCATTGATTGTTATTAGGAACCTGTATTTCAGATTACTTATGAGTCTTCCATAAATCTGGTTGTCTTTAAATCTGATTGTCATAAATCTAAATGTCTTTAGAGAAAAATCAAACCTTTGACAGAGACTTAGAATGGTGGTTAAAATCTGACCAGGAAATATGATTATTCCTATTGCAGACAACACTTTCAGATAACGAGAATTATGACTAATAGTATTACATCAAGACCATCAGACTTATAAATTTTATATAATCTTTCAAATATTTATATCAATAGTATATTCCTATTAATATAACCTTAAAGAAGACTTAATATAACCAAAATGTGAATAACATTAGGTTTTAAGAATTTTATATAACTTTATAATACCTATATCAACAACATACTCATAAATGCAACTGAAAGAAGATATAGTGACACTTATGGTTTGATAATTCTTCCCATACAATTTACCAAATATGTCTAATCAGTTAATATCACTACAAGACGAGAGCTGTATCCATTGAGGCTGTCCAGGGATGCAACTGGAAAATGCCAAAGACTTGAGAATTTTGATATTGGGGAAGCCCATCAAGAATGCTAATAGGTTTAAGACATTTGATCAGAACAGGATCACAGGTCAATGTGAAATAATAGTTATTCATTTAATCAAAGTGATAATCAGAGACTTCAACAACAACTCAGAAAGTTATATGGATGCAAAACTCTCAACCCTTTTAAAGCTCAGTTTTTTATGTAATCGATAACCCAGTAAAGACAACGCAAGAAATTATTTTGATAAAATGCAAAATTTTGTTCCTTAGGCCAATTTCCAAAAGGTATAGAAAACCTCCTGAAGTGCAACTGTTTCTTCTCAGAGGAAGCCTGTTTCGATAACCTGATAGTTGAACCTGATGGGAAGGTATTTTGAATTTATTCAGACACAGGAAGAGTGTGTCCAAGGTTGCCCTGGGAATCCTGATTCAAAATTTGGGACAGAGCCATGGCTCATAGTATCCTTCTCTGCCTCCTGACCTCCATCTTTGCCGGATCACTGTCACACCTGTGCTGCTGTGAAGATGTGAGCCCCCTGGCAAAGAACTCCTCTGCCCTCACTTGGCCTAACCACTAAAGGTAAGTATTCTTGGTTTTGGAAGAAGATGTTGCTTCTTTGTTAACCAGCCAGGCTTAGTGAGGGATGCTGCAAAGAAATTAACAGATAGAGCCTCTTGGTTACAACAGTCATCTGAGTTCTGGGGTTCCTGGTTAAAAATCCGGAATTGGTTTCCCATGGCTCCTGCCCCAATTAGGACCTCTGATGATGCTAATTCTAGCCCTGGTTTTTGGGCGCTATTTACTAGACCTCTTAATCAAATTTATCTCTTCTCATTTAGAGTCCATAAAATTGCAGATGATTGTGCAACAAGGATATCAACCCCTTGGAACCGCCACTGGCCCCTACTGCACACTGCATGGGCCAGACACCAGCTTCACCCGCTAACACGCATTGGACTGACCACAACCATGTGCCCCTTAATCCCGCTCTGCTACTTAGACCAGGTAGGGTGAGAGATTCATGATCCCCAGTAGGCTGGCCCAGTGCCCCTTTTCAGTGAAGAAGCAGCTATAGAAATGAACCATCATCCCTGTACAAGCCATAAAGATTTATGGGGATCACGTCTCTCAGAGGGAAAGTAAAGGAGGAATCTAGATAGAGACAAGAGTGGGAGGAGGAAAACTGGTTATTCGAAAGTGGGATAACCGGTACCACAGGTTCCCCAAGGACATAGACATGCGCTTGTGCGAAAGTAGCCACGCGGGGGTAGGGCACCATTTGGTTGGACCGATGAGTGCCCACCAGCTAGGGTGCCAATCAACAGAGACTACACTCAGGGCTCAACCAATGACCAAATGACATGAATCCAGCTAAGAGGACTTAACACCCCGGGAATGTACCTGATGGTGCTCTTGAGCCATTTTCTCACTCGAGCCTGCTCCATTCTCTCCAGAGTGTACTCTCTCTTTGCTAAAAACAAAAATTGCTCTTTGATTTTTGCCTCTGATGTGTCTTGTCCAATTCTTTGTTTGAGACACCAAGAACCCTGATTTAGCTGGAGGAACCTGCAATCCCCTCACTTTCCCTTAACACAATGATGACAGTGCCCTGCCTGACTTTCTTTTCCTCCTTAAAACAATTGACCTCCTCGCCACTGGGAGTGTAGTCCTGATGTAATCCCAGTTTACTTGGTGGATGCTGTAGAATCAGGGGTGTTTGATTATACCTGCCACTGGGACTTTTCAAATGACTCTACATCCAGTAGTAAACATAGCACTGGTGGTCTATGGAGAGAACTATTTACAGATATACACAAAGCACCTGCATCGGACACTCATTTTGTTTGTTTGTTTTTTAGTATAGTATTTATTTTTATTTTATTTATTATTATTCTTGTTATTATTTTTTACATTCTAATATATTTATTTTTTCCTATAAAGGGATTCCTAAACTTGCAATAGGTTATGGAAACGCTGTTTTTTCTAGTAACAGTAGAGATGTGTAAATGTACTAATCCTTATTTTTAAAACAAATATCATCACATACTCTGCTGCACCCAGCATGAGCTTCTGAGACTGTTGACAAGGTTGCTAGGTGGAATTGCTCAGGGTGGAAATGCCAGGCCACTTTTCTGCAAGGGGCTGGATGCACTTTATTTCCACAGGCCCAAGGGTATAGTCATTAGTGTAGAGAACTGTCAGCTGTTTTTCTGGCTTGGGGGCTCTGGCACACAAAACTCAGTCAGTAGGTGGGGCTGGAGGTAGGAGAAGGAATAGGGTGTGGTCCACCTAAGGAGGATCTGCTTGTCTGATCTCTGGCCAGGGATGTGGGGTACGTCAGTTCAACAGAACTAGGGTTGGCCTCCCAGGCTGCAGAAGAGAGTCATAGCTGCTGTGAGTCCAGGTTTCAGGCCACCAGTAGTAGCACATTGCAGCCTCTCCCATGAGTGTCATTAACGTCTTTACTTCTAATCAGATTAGAAAGGAATTCCTGCAAATACCAGAACCAATGTTGTTGCTGAGCAGCTGGTGGGAGGGGGAGAGAGCAAGGGGAAGGGGGACAGGATGGAAGAAGGAGAAGGGGGGGTGCAGTTGAGGCCAGTTGCACCCCCCATTTCAGCAGGGGAGCCCAGGGGTCTTCTGGTGGCAGCTCAGCAGTCATTGCTGGGCTGGGTGCAGATGTTGGGGGGGAGTGGCTGAGGCCCTAAGGAGCCTAGGTTGCTTCTGGCAGCAGCTCGATGGTCATCACTGGGATGGGTGCAGAGCTTGGGGGGCATGGCTGGGTCTCTCTGCCCCCCATTGCTCCAGCTGAGGAACCAGGGGTGCTTCTGGCAGTGGTCCGATGTTCATTGCTGGGCTGGGTGTGTAAATTGGGGGTTATGGCTGAGGCCCTCGGCCCCACCCCCACCCTGGCTCAGGAGCCCAGGGTGCTTCCGGTGACAGCCTGCCTATCGGTCATCACTGGGCGGGTAGTGGATGTTGAGGGGTGTGGCCGAGGCCTGACATTCCCCACTGCCCTGGCTCTGGAGACTGGGGTGCTTCCAGCAGTGGCCTGATGGTCATCGCTTGGGCTGGATTTAGTCATCAGGGAGGGAGATGGCCAAGGCCTTTGGATTGCCCCCCATCCCAGGTTGGGAGCCTGGGGGGGGTTCCGGTTTTTCTAAGTTTTGTAGGTGATCTTAGGTAGTGTTAGACCTTTACTAGTTAATATCAAAACTTTGTCTCTGGGCTGGCCCGGTGGCGCACTGGAGAGTGCGCCGCTTGGGAGCGTGGCGGCGCTCCCGCCGAGGGTTCGGATCCCATGTGGAGACCGGTTCCTGCTCACTGGCTGAGTGCGGTGCAGGTGCAACACCGAGGGTTGCGATCCCGTTGCGTGTCCCCGGTACGGGTGCGACACTGAGGGTTGCGATACCGTTACTGGTCAGTAAAAAAGACAAAAGGGAAAAAAAAACTTTGTCTCTGATCTGTGGATATTTTGTTGTTTCTTTTAGTTCTCTGTTGGATTATCTGCTGTTCCCACACTTAAACTCTGCACTGGAACTAATTTGTTGTCTTTAGGTTACTTCTAAGATGGGGGAACTTCCTGTGGGAACGAGTATTTGAGCTCTGTGGTTGAGCTAAATTGCTGCTTTGCTGCTGATTCCCTGGAGAAAGCTTTTTGTGCAGCTCAGGTTTTAATTGTTGACCTTTTAAGCCCTTCTGGGTCTTGTGTGGTCTGGTGCACCTGTGTTGTCTGGAAACTCTGGTCTGGGCCTGAGTCTTTTCAGCAAACTGTACCCCCTGTAGTTCTATATTCCTGGCCAGTTTCCACTGAGTGGTCCTGTGCTGATTAGAGGGCAGACCAGCTGTCCCTGCTGTGCCCCATTGTTCCCCTAGTGGGCCTGTCTCTCCCAATGCCTGCAGTCCAAACACTTCCCATGGGATAGGCCATGTGCCAGGCCCTTGCAATGACTCAACATCCTCTGAGTGGCTCCTTTTTCCAGTTGTCTGTGGCCCCTAACTCCTATGTGGGTCCATGGGAACCGTGTTAGTGTTCTTACCGGCCTGGGTGCCACCATGGCCCACTTCTCCACTGAAGCCTCCAACCAACTTCATATGAAGGGCACAGCTGAGGCTTTTGCTTGCTCTTGCTTTGTGTGCTCACCAGGGACAGCCGTGAAGTGGCCGGGGCTCAAAATGGAGCAGTGCTTGCTTTCTCTTGTTGTGGCTTCTCCTACCTTCATGAACTCTGTAGGTCTTTCCTCCTCTTACCCTGAGCTCTAGCGGTCCCTGCTTGGCTGTAATTGCTTTTTTTTTTAATCTTTTTTTTTTTTTTACCGGTAAGGGGATCGCAACCCTCGGCATGGTGTGGTCTGCACCACGCTCAGCTCAGCCAGTGAGCGCACCGGCCATCCCTATGTAGGATCCGAACCTGCGGCCTCAGCGCTACCAGCACCACACTCTCTGAGTGAGCTATGGGGCCGGCCCTGTAGTTGCTTTTTAACAGTTGTAAATTGGTTGATTGTGGGAGAGGGTGATGCTGGGTACTGTCTATTCTTTCATCTTGACCAGAAGTCAATGTATTAGAATTAGCAAACTTGAAGGCAGATTGATAGATATGCAATCTCGAATCACTCCTAGTTTGGCGTCAATCCCTTTGGGCTGAGCTGATCCTATCACAGATCCAAGCAGCTCTCCACCTGGAATTGAACTCTTGCTACTGTGGGAAAAGATGGCTGAGTTCTTGCAGAAAGTTGCCTTGAGCCACAGGGACCTCTGGGAAATGTAGTCCATAGCTAGACCACATGAACAAGATGGTGCCAGGATTCAGGCTAAATCCCTGTCCTGGAGGCTTCAGGGATCCTGGCCCAGTATCCAAGTGAAGGGTTCAGGTGTGGCCTAACCTGCACCCTGGGGACTGAGCTTTTACTGCACTGGGAACCATGAAAAGGACTTCAAATTTGTGGGAGAACTTAATTCGGGAAGACACAGGGCCTTCTGGGAAATGGAGTCTGGAGCCCAGAATCTGGCTGGAGGGAAATCGAACTGCACTTAGTGTGGGCCAGGGAGTTTAGTCCTTTCCAGGGGTGCTCAGCAGTTGACTCTCTGGGGTTGCCATTTTTACTGTGGCCTGAGATCTGGGTTTAGTGAAATGTGTTGCATATGTTGGCCTTCTCATACCCAAACCTCACCAGGAATACTGAAGTGGAGCAACTGACCAGCCAGGGATGGGCCCAGGTTGTCCTGCAGGGACAGTGGTTCTGGAACTGCTGCATCTGGCATGGGCCTCAGGCTGCTCCTACTCATGGCGGAAAGTAGCAGGCAGCCAGTGGGGACAAGCAGATCACATGGTGAGAGGAAGCAAGAGACTGTATTGGATACTCTTAAACACTGAAAAGTAAGGGTCAAAATGACTGTTAAAAAAAAAAAGAAAGAAAGAAAAGATGACTCTATACAATACTTACAAATGTTTTTGGAAAACTAATGTGACATTGATTGGTTGTTCCTAATGTCTTTGGACAAAGTTATGAAAGAAATGAATGAGTCAAGGATTCAAATTCCTAGCTGAATCATCACGTAAATGACCAAAGAGCTTGTATGTGTGCCTTCAAGGAGTGGCTTATCTCCTGTAGTCACAGGGCTGAAATTATTGAAAATCAACTGCAGAACCTCATCCTGAGACTGGATCAAATGCAATGCAAGCTGAGCTTTCAGCCTGACAGTGTGTCTACTGTTAATGTGAGGACATTGACTGAGAAAGAATGGGTTCCAATCAGTTGGGATGGGGATGTGTGGGAAGACTCTGATGAAGCTGGGCACATTGAGCCTCCAAATTCTGATAAGTCTTCTTTACCAGTGGAAGATGTCTTCAAACCCCAGCAGAATTGGCCTCTCCACTCCCAGCAGATGAGGCCTTTTCCACCCCAGTGGGGGCAGCTTCCAAACCCTAATGGCAGTGGCATAGCCATCCCCAGTCCTATTGTCCTCTTCACCCACAGTGGTATTGGCCTTTCTCTGACTGAGGGCTCTAAGCCGCCATTTATTTATTTATTTAATTATTTTTATTTCTTCATGTATTTATTTATTTATTTATTTTTTCCTTTAAATTTTTATTTTGTCGATATACAATGTGGTTGATTATTATGGCCCATTACCAAAACCTCCCTCCCACCACCCTCTCCTCCCTCCCACCCAACAATGTCCTTTCCGTTTGCTTGTCGTAACAACTTCAAAAAATTGTAGTTGTTATATCTTCTTCCCCCTCTCCGCCGGTACTTTTTTGTGTGTGTGTGAGTGAATTTATTTATTTATTTTTAGCTCCCACCAATAAGTGAGATCATGTGGCATTTCTCTTGTGAATATCTATCTGCATCTGTTTGAGGAACCTCCATACCTTTTTCCATAGAGGCTGCACCATTTTGCAGTCCCACCAACAATGTATGAGAGTTCCTTTGTCTCTGCAATCTCGCCAGCATTTATCGTTCAGAGTCTTTTGGATTTTAGCCATCCTAACTGGGGTGAG